ACCATAAACAAACACGCGATCCAACACTTGCTTCTCAGTCTCGGTTGCAGTAGCCGCGTGAAGTCCCAGTCCAACTCTCTCTCGCTCTCTCATTCGCCGGTTATATACGGTCTCTCCACGGAAAATTACTGCAATCAAACTCAGGTGTTCATCATCTGCACTTGATCTACTAATCTCACCGTGCGGCTCCGTCCTTTCTCTCCCGCAGCCGCTACAGACTCACGCCCCCTCGCCACAGTCAGGTTTGCCGAAGTGCTGATATTCTGAGAGCTAGTCTCGCGGCTGTCATCAAAAAGTGGACTCTGTGACCGGTTTTAACGGTGTTTTTGCACCCAGTACAAACGCAGTAATTCACCATCGTGATAATACGCCTGCATATATACATTTCTTCTTTTTCTTCTTCTTCTTCTTCTTTAGGGTTTAATTGCGGTTGGCAAACCTGTTTCCTGCGTATACATAACTAACTACCTAACTTAAATAACTAAATAAATAAATGTCCTAATCAAATAATTCTCTTGCTCTATCATTCGTACAATTACCAACACAGCTCACTGACTCACTCTCAGCGACCTGGGGAGACGTCTCCCTCTTATGACATCAGTGATTCGATTGGGGGGAGGAGCAGTTTTAAGTGAGTACTGAAAATAACGAACTTTTTCATCTTATATTCTGCCTTTAGGTATCGAAAAACATACAAAACAATACATCAACTTGACAAACGTGTTTTTCCCCTAACTATTTTGTGTTAATCATAATTACAAATTTAACCTGACATACACACTTTAAAGGATGAGAACGGGCTGGAATCTCGTGTGTTCTAATATGTTTTCACATAATTGCGGCTGTCAAGTAATAAAAAATCTCTTTGCGCAGCCAACTTCATCTCGTCTCTTGAGTTCAAAGGTGAGTTCTTCTCAGAGCTTCCTTTAGGCCTTGTGGTTTGGAGTAATTGGGAACACGTTCTGCCATTACGTCCATTTCATGAAGCCTCTAATTGAGGTGCAGGTCTTGCTTTTTCCCCAGTTTGGTGTAACCAGTTGGATGGGGAAGAAATGGTAGGACTCTGCCTCTAGAGTTAGAGACCCGTGCAGTGATTGATGGCTGACTCTCAGGTTGGGCGGCCTGTCATCATTAGTAGTGAAGGGAATATAATTGCTGTAGTGCAGTCTCACCTCACCTCCCCCCTTGTCTCACTTACCACAAGTCTGTCGAGTTGTTCTCTGCAGGATAATACAGGGCCGAGTGAAGGACAGTAGAATAATGCTTTGTTTGCACTTGCACACACGCGCAGCTAAAAATAGTGGATTAAAATGCAACTTGTAGTGTTCTTTTAACAACCGATATTTTGTGAGTTGTTTGGTGGTGCTAATGAAGTCCTTAGGGGTTTCACTTTGTGAAATTAGGCCATATAATAATTGTGCTCAAGACACTAATAGTAGAGAGGTTAAGCAAGTCATGATCAAGACTTCAAGTCATGATGCAAAGGTCCCCTTTGGTATGGAAATACCTTATGGCCATAGAAATAAATTTATCCTATGACACAAGTGAGATCACATTTTGTTTCTTATATACGCACATTTTTTTTTTTAAATGGCCACCAATCATACTTGAGAGGCCCATATCTTTGCTTCTGTTATAGCTATAATGACAAATTTGGTGTCAACGTGTACATTTTTGTGGTCAAGGAGTCCAATAAAGTAGGTTCCAAGACTAGAAAACAATAATGTTGTCCTTACCATGACAATTGGAGGTGAAGTATGCAATTTTTTATCAAAAAAAGCATGCCAAAGACAGTCCATTCACAACTTAAAGGTATAGTTCACTTTGAAATTAATTTTTGATATGTTTTGGCTTACCTCAAGGGCATCCAAGATGTAGGTGTCTTTGTTTCCACAGTGTTTTCAATTTTGACATTTTTAGGTCAAACCGTTTGAGTCTATCAGTCATATAATGGAGGTCTATGGGGTCCACCTCAAAGAGCAAGCACAGAGAAGTCCAAATTAAACATGATTAAATGACTCGTAAATTGCGATTATTGCTTTCATAACATGATATATATATATATATATATATATATATATTCTATAGAGGTTTAACTGAAAATATACTTTAAAATGTCCTCCTGGCCAGCAGGCAATTTTTGATGACAGTAAGGCAGGCCCTAGTAGTCAGTCAAGTGAGGATCTGCAAGAGGGCAGCCACAGTAGGAAATATGTTGTTATTTTATTTTTATTTTTGCACATAGGTTATTTGCTTTTTTGTTCATAATGGTAGACATTGTATGCTGAGATAAGCAAATGTTTAAATAATAAATACTTTGCTGAAGACATGGGTCATGGGTGATTGGAATACTAGTCAAATAACAGTCTGATCATGCATTGCTAGTGGTGATGATCAGTAAGGCCTTTTTTTTCTTTTTTCTTTTTTTCTTTTACCATTGTTCATTGTTCATGCAATCCATGATTTCAAATAAGAATCCCCCATTGACTTTTTAGTCCAAATCATTGGCCCAAATAACGCAAAGTACCTACTTGAGCACTAGTTAAAGCCCAAATTCTGCAAAATAACGAATTGAGTTTAAATCATTTGCTGACAGCTTGGTTATTTCAGTAAAAGTTGCTCTTCTATCAGCTTGAATCAGTCGGCCTATGGGCTCTATGCACGGCGGTATTTCCGGTGAAGCATTAGGGATGCTCGATAACTTCTGCCGATCGTAGAGTCCAATGCAATACCGATAATATATATTGAATTTTTATACTCCATGGTTATACTAAAGAAACGTTAGTCACAAAAACAGATAAAACAGACACCCCTCGTTGTGTTTATGCTTCTTTTTAAAATTATATTAAATAAATATATATAAAATCAAATCTAAACGTACGTTTCATTTCAAAGACTGGAGGACAGTAAATTTTGAAGACTCTGCCATAATCCCGTTTTCCTCGGTTTTCCTCCGCTTTAATCTCCACAACCGGAAATGGACGAGCAGCTTCCGTCAAATGCGGAATTTATGCGTGCATATATAGCCCATTCTCCTCTAACCTCTAGTATCAACAAGGCATTTTCGCCCACAGGACTGCCGCATACTGGATGTTTTTGCCTTTTTTCACACCATTCTTTTTAAACCCTAGAAATGGTTGTGCTTGAAAATCCCAGTAACTGAGCAGATTAGCATGTGATTAGATAATTGCATTAATAATAAGATAAGAAATTGAACAGGTGTTCCTAATAATCCTTTGTGAGTGTAATTGCCAGTCATTAAAAAAATATGAATTACTTAAATTTCATTCACTGATCTTGCGTTCATAGCGTTTAACTGTGAAAATTGTTGTTATTGGAAATAAAACAGTGGATGGCGGGCGGTGAGAACAGGGGTGGGGGGTCTGTTTTCAGATATGGGGGTCCAATACTCCAAAAAGGTTGAGAAACACTGCTCACACAACAGATCATTAGAACTTCTATCTTATAATTTTTTAAACATCATTATTACTCAACTCCTTTTCCAAACGCCTCACAAGTTTCTTCAAATGCAATTCTCTATTATTAAAACAGCCTTCTGTAATTAGACTTCTCATTTTCTCGACTAACTGCTTGATGTCAGGGAAATATTCTTGAACACAAACACCTTTTATTTTTTGTTACCTAAAGAAACGTACCCTCATTATCGTAAATTAGTCCAGAATTGCTTTGAGAAAGCGCTATACGCCTTATTCACGGCAGCGCCATCTTTGATTTTTAATGAGAATGAAAGCGAGGCTGTGAGGGATAGACTTGCATCTCTTCAATGGGATTGTTATTTAATGTGTTTTCGGATTGTTCTGCTCATGAAACACTGGAAAAATATCTTTCTAAGAAATTTCAGTTGACAAAAAACTCCTGACAATGTAGGCTAAGTTGTGGAAAATTGTAAGTAATCTAGGAGCTTTATTCAGCTTTTTAAAGCGGATGCCATTGGAAACACGGTAAGTCTATCCCTCACAGCCTCACTATCACACCTGTCATGGCGCTGCTCTGAATAAGGTCTATGCTGGAGTCAGACGACTTTCAGTCTCCTGATCCTCACTGCCCTGTACATTACTTTTTTGCAAGCTTTTTCACCCTGCAATTGACCAGAATTTTCCTTTTTTGGGGCACTTTGAACACATTTTTTTCTATCTCTGTAACAACACAATCCACCTCACATACCCCCTTCAACTCGTACCGGGAACAGCATTAACATTGTTTTTTATTTGTTACCTTCATTTTCCTTTAATTTATCCCCGGCAATTTCGAATTAAATGTCCTGATTTGCCACTACCAAAACTCTTTGATTTCGTGGTTGTAACAAATATCACGTACTCAAATCCATCAACTTGAAATTGAGTGAAAATTCTAATTCAACATCATCTTTAACAATCAAAATGCCTAAAAGAAACGATGTGTTTCAAGAAAGGTGATCGATATCTTTTTGATTGGGGATACCATGCAGTTTTCCGTAATGAGACAACGCCTGAGTTAACAACGCCTGAGTTCATCACCAAGCAAAGGGGGGACATTGGATAAAGTAACTTTGTCAAGTCTCTTTGATGGTAGTAAGAGAGGAAGCACAGTGACAAACTCATCGCCGATCACAATGCCATGTTCAACTAATTCATTTGCGTTTTCGATACTGTTGAGGAAAATCACCATGGCAGATAACAGGAGGACATATACAAGGATGCACACAAGATTAATAAACTGCCTGAAGTTAATAGGAAAACACCGGATTGGATTATGCATTCATTGTGGAGAAGTGGAAGATGTAAAGCATACTCTTGATTAGTAGAAAGTACTAAAAAAGAAAAGAACTAGAGAAGGCAACAAAAAAACACATCTGAGTTTGCTTGGCACATAATTTATAATTCAGGATGTTATGATCTTTATGAAAGAAACCCAGGATTTAGGTTTTATTATTTGTATTTTATTTTATTTAGTTTAGTAAGATATAAATGACATCCCAATGAGTTCACACCTCAATCCAGAAGATGGCGGTAATTCGCTTTGTTTGCAAACTGCCAATAAAAACCACAGAAGAAGAACATCCTCATTGGGAAGTTTTGTGTTGCTGGTGAACATCTGTGAGCGTTTCTTCCTGTGGTTTTGTCTTCACGTGGATTACTCTTCGACTGATTATTCTTCTTTCTGTCTGTCCTGGACTGTTGCTATTGTGGACTGATTTATGTAAGTTTGCTTTCTGCACTGGACGTATGCCTGTTTTCGGATTACGAAAGCTGTTTTAAAAAAAGGTAAATTTTCTACATATCATTTTGGTCTGTGGAAATGTCGTTTAAATATGTTAAGCTTTCATTTTGAGGTTAATGTATGTTTTAGCCATATCTGTCGACCTGTGTATTAGATGAATTGCAGTTATTGTTAGTGAGGAATTAATGTGTCTTGTCATGTCATGTCAGCAGAAAGGTGCGAGTGCGTTTGCGATATGAAAACAATTTCACCTGATGACTTGAAAAGCTCTTTGAAAAATAAATAAATAATATAATGACTGGGGTGATTTTGTAGCCCAATGTAGTAAATCAAATTTCAAGCAGTAGAACAGAGAGTGTTAGTGAGTGAGTGTTATGACTTCTTTTTCATGCATCCTTCAGCCGAAAGACCGTGAATCTGAAGCTGTGTGTGTGTGTTTGTTGTTTGTCTCTAGGGCTGCACGATTGAGAAAAAGATGACATTGCATTATTTTTATTTTTTTGCGATATGAAAACAATTTCACCAGATGACTTGAATAGCTCTATTTGGAAAGAATGAATCATTCTAGAATGACAGGGTGATCTTGTAATGAAGCAAATCTGTATAGAAAGTTGTAAACAAATTACAAGCATAGATAAATATAACTCTTTTTTTCAGGTAAATCTAACTGTATTCAGGACAGGTACAGAGTCAGACTTCAAATTGAAATTGTTTATACCTGTAACCACCCTGTAATTAATCGCGCCCTGCTTCACACCACAGTCATGTTAAAAACATCAGTGTATTCACTCATCCATACTAGATCCATCAGCTTGAAGAAAAGATCCATAATTCTGCTTAATGCTTTGCGTCATAAATACACCTTTGTTTGTTATTATATAAGGTTGGCGAACCCTGGTGGCGAAACAGCTGACATATTGTAACTTAAACTGGATCACAAAACTAATCTTTGGTACATTAAAAATATCATATTTGATAAGCAGATCTCACTTTTCTGTTATTAAATAAGTGTTCACATGAAAATTAATTCTCAAAATTCAACTCATTCTAACAACTTAATGTTAACAACTTAAACAGCAAAGACAATAAGTGAAGTTAAAGGTGATGCAGTAGTTTGTTTCAGCCTGTTGACACCAATAAAACAATTTAATGTGCCAATTTACAGAAGATCTCAGACCATCACCATAATGAATGAGCTGAAAACAGGGAACTTTTGGAGACCAAGAGGTTTTTCAGCTGCTCAATTTAACATGATGGCCCTGTACTTTTTAAATGCAGATTGGAGAAAAACACAGGGATCACAGTTCGCACCTGCAATTCACCAATAAATACTGGGAATATTCCCATCATCCTACAAGAGAAGGACAAACTCCAGGAGTAGCAGCTGAAATCTGTGTGACTGTTAAAGATGGAGTTTATTAAAGAGGAGATTGAAGACGTGAGTGATTCAGAACCATCCAGAATAAAACTTGAAGATACTGAGGAACAAACAGGTTGGTGTCCATTCCTGATTCTTCATTGTTGAGGCTTTGGCAGATGTGAATTAATAAGCAAGCAGTACATCCAAATGATCATAACCTTGTATATAGCAGTTGTCAAACATTTTTACTATATTCACAAGTGAATGACAAAACAGAAAGTGAAATATCTGATCTATGTTGTTTTCTGCTATTAAATAAGGGTTCACTTGAACTGATTCTAACTGTATTTCTTTGTATTTTAGACCAGATGAGAATGGAAGAGCAAAGACAAGAACTGAATGAAGAGGAAGAGGAACATTGTAACTTTACAATTCAAAGAACATTAGCCAAAAATATGCACACCTGCACTCAGTGTGAAAAGAGTTTCACTGAGAAAAGAAACCTTAAGAGACACATGAGAATTCACACTGGAGAGAAACCGTATACATGCACTCAGTGTGGAAAGAGTTTTACTCATGACTCAGGTCTCCGTCACCATCTGCGCATTCACTCTGGAGAAAAACCATTTAACTGTGATCTATGTGGTAAAGATTTTATTTCATCAGCAAATCTAAAATCACACCTGAATGTTCATTCAGATGAGAAGCCCTATGTGTGTTCTCTCTGTGGAAAGAGTTTTTCACGGCAGATAAGTTTTAAACTGCACCAGAAAACACACAATGAAGTGAGAGATTATATGTGTTTTGACTGTGGGAAGAGCTTTACTGCATCTCGTGATCTGAAACGGCATCAAAGAACTCATACTGGAGAAAAACCTTACAAGTGCTCATATTGTGACAAGAGTTTCACTCATTCTGGAAACCTGAAATCACACGAGCGAGTTCACACTGGAGAGAAGCCGTACGACTGTGCTCAGTGTGGGAAGAGTTTCACCCAATCAAGTAGTCTAGGGAAACATATTAGAAAGCATTGTTCTGTGTCACAGTGAGCAAATGTTTTGTTAGATACACAAAGTAAATGTGTGGTTAGTTAACTAATAAACTAGTGTTACTGTGAAATGCTTCATGATTTGTGGTTTATATGTTGGAGAACAAGGATATTATTCTACTAAAGCAGTATTATGTTATTTTTTAAAATTTGCTCTCGGGGTGCCCCTACAGTTGGGAAACAGTATTGTCTTCTACTATCATAAAATCTGTCATGGTTACACAAGGGAATACACGCGTACATTTGTTGACAAGCGATCCCCAACGCTGCAGAAGGAAGGAGTTCTCACATCTTGGGCAGACTGCCAGTGTTGCGCATGAAATGTCTTCTTCCCAGGTATATTGGCAAATATTTCAGCATGTCATATTAATATAATTTCATGGGCTTTATTTTTTAAGCCAGCGTCTTAATAGTAACATTAACCTATTGGCTAGTGGCTACTGTTTTATGCCTGGTTCAGATTACACGATTTTTTTTTTTGTTCCTTATGATGGTCACTGTGTCAGATTACGCGATTTTGGCTCCTAAAATCTTGTCGTGGACTAGACACATGTCAGACTACACGTTACTTCCTGACCAGTCATCGCATGCCGTCTTTAACGGCACGCGTGATGTCATCGAGAAGGTGAAACTCGTAGCGAGTGACTTCCTGGATTGCTCGGTATTGCCTTTTCAGCGTGAGAAATACACGATGTGGCGTTAATGTGAACTGGTTGGATTGCGTGTGTCTCACGGCCATTGCGTGAGACTTGAGAACCCTGCTCGAAGAGGACAGTAGGGCTGTTAATCCTCCAAAGAGAACTTGAGGTAAAATATTGTTTTCTTATATATTTTTACTTCTAGTTTTAACCTTACCACCATCGTCTCTTTCGTTTTGTCTTTTTTGAAAGTTGTATACGGAAAAGCTTGTGCTCCTATTGGTCAACCTCATACATGTGACGGAACTGTCGTGGACGACCGTTAAAAAAATTAAACATGCTAGTCTTTTTGTCGTGAAGCATCGCAGACGCGACGTAGGTTGTCACCCACTATAACACACTAACGTTACACGAGATGACACAATTCAATTGAATCTTGCGTCCTGACGCTCGTTGTCCTTTACGAATCCCCACGACACCCTATCAAACGGATCATGCCAAAATCGTGTAATCTCAACCAGGCATTACATAATTGATATGCTAATTCAATGTTTGTGTGGTAGATCATAACCATATCGTCAATATTATAATATCAAGCTGCAATGCATCTGCAAATTTAAAAAATCGATTTGCATTACAGCCTGAGGCAAGACACTTACACCAGAAAAATAATTACAATTATTGTTGTTTGATTGAAACGTCCAAGGATTGCTGACTTTCTTGTGCACAACTGCGCATGACTTGAGACTATAATGTTTGCGGCGTGCAAATGCAGCAGGACTGAGGTCAGATGTGATGTGGAGCCTCTTGCTCAACTATGTATCGGAAATGTCTGCCTTATCATCCATAATTCAGTTTGCAAAGAAGAACCACAAAGCAGTAATGTTATTTGAAAGAGCACTTACTGATTGTAATAATTGTAAGTCAAAATTATAATAAAATGACCTTTACACCACTGTGGCCTTTTTACCATTACAGTGTAAATGATCGAATGGTATATTTGGTTTACTGTTTGAGTATGGTGCCACTTTCATTGTTACCACCAAATATTTTACATATTCTTGAAGATATATTTTAGTCTGGTTTGAGACCCAACCTTAGGCTATCTCTGGTCTCGACTCAGACTCGACTCGGACTCGACTCTTTGGTCTCGGACCCTCGACTCGGACTCGAGTGAGCTGGTCTCGACTACAACACTAGTCCCTACCAAACTCTTGAGTGTGTTAAGCGCCCTTAAAAGAAAGCAATGCAGTCTAGATGTGATGCGGCGAGGTACGAAGCTACACAACACATGCAGACTGTGCATCCAATGTAGACTGCATTGACTTTTCTGATGCACTTCACGTTTGCTAGGCGGGGGAAGATTGATGCACTGGAGTTGGGTGACTTAGTTATGTTTTTGTGGAGTAGTATTACAAATGAATGTTTTTTTAAAATAGTATTAGTATAAAAAAATCACTTGTTCGCTCATTTTGGCGTACCTCAAAAATTTTACCTTTAGGAAGGAGGACCACTTGGATCGGTCAGGCACCCCTCCTCCTTTGGCTCACACCAGCGAGCTAAAGCTGGACCAGTATTTATCCTCGTCCAGGCTTTTATTTAGCCACTCTCCCTTTTTCTCTTTCTACTGTCCTCCGACAAAACCTTTGGCATCTTGGCTTTACATGTTGCTTCGACTATGACAACATACAGAGGGGAAAAAAACACTCGTTGGGCTCTCGCCTCGGAATTTGAGGAAGTGGGGGAAGTGATGTATGCCATTAAGCAGTCGAATTTTGTAGTTCTTTTTGTCCTCGGGTTCCTACCCGCACCCCAAAGTTACAGAGTGCCAGTCAAAGCGATACAGACACTGTCAGGATATGGCAGACCTGTCATTCAATTTATTGTAAGTCAATGTACCATGTCAAGGGTTTTGGAAAAATATTGTAAAGTTGAAAAATTACAGAGTGCTGCTTTAAATGTCCACAACTAAGCCAAGGCAACAGGGGCAAGGAACCAAAACTCCATCAGGTGACAGAATGGAGAAAAAAACCTTAAGAGAACCCAAGCTCAGTCAGGGGCCAGTTCTCCTCTGGCCATCGAAGGAACGGTGTGTGATTCGGGTAGCATTACAAAACAAATTGGATCGAAACATTAAGAGTATTTGTCCATTTCCATCTGTTTGGAAGTCAAAGTAATCACGCCGGTGTGGAGATGAGTTGTTGAGGATGAGACGAGTCGTGAGTCGTGTTGATGAAGGCCAGCACTTCAGGATGAGTTGGGATGGGTCCAGGCGCAGGTCCACCATAGAGGGTCCCTCAAGATAAACAGAGAAACTAATATTAGCCTAGACGCCATCCTCCTTATGCTGTACCAAGTACATCAGGATCAAGGAACATTTTCCCGGTTCCGACTGATCTAAACTATGAAGCCTAATTTTGAGTTAAGGGAGTCTATAGTGTGTCATGTATCAAAGAGCACACCCAGGTTCCTAACCGACGACAAAGACTTAACAGAGCAGCCATCAAGTGTTAGGCAGTATTCTAGGCCGTTACGTGTGGAAATTTTTTGTCAAATAATTAGAATCTCTGTTTTTTTCAGAATTTAGTTGTAGGAAATTACTAGTCATCCAATTTTTTATATCAGCTATGCATTACGTTAATTTTGTGCACTGGTAATTTCGTTAAGTTTTGAAGAAATATACAGCTATTATCTGCATAACAGTGAAAGCTAATTCCATGTTTCCTAATGATATCTCCCAAGGGTTGCATGTACAGAGTAAATAGTAGCGGTCTTATTACTGAGCCATATGGTACACCATACTGAACTTGTGATCGAGACATCTCTTCATTTACTGCTACAAACTGATAACGGTCAGATGAATATGATTTTAAACCATGCTAATGCAATTCCACAAATGCCGTCATAGTTTTCTAGTCTATTTAAAAGAATGTTGTGGTCAGTTGTGTCAAATGCAGCACTAAGATCGAGTAACATTAATAAAGAGATACAACCACGATCGGATGATAAGAGCAAATCATTTGTGACTCTAATGAGAGCTGCAGATCCAAAGAGATTTTTGGGGGGGGTGGGGGTGTCTGATTATAATTTCACCAACAATAATTCTAGATTGCCTCCACCAAACAAGTAAATAGAAATAAGCAAATCAGAACACTGCGCGCCAAAACAGCAGAATGCGCGCAAGCGTGAACCGCTAGTGTTTCTTCCACTAACTTGTGGCCTGATTGGAGGTAGCTTGTCAAGGGGCCGCGCGTGAGGATGGCATCAGAATCAGAAGGTATTAGCTTAAGATTCGAATTTATTCTTTTTAAAGTGAACATTTAAAGCTTTAGTCTAAAGGCTATTGTTTCAGTTCTCGCGCTCCAGTTCACTAAGATCATAAAGCGCGGCTGATTGTTTTATTTTATTTTACAAAAGCACGTTTTCTTGTTATTGTGACATTACGCAAATAAAAGTAGTTGCGAATAATGTATTATTATTTTCTGTATAACCAGAAATGATAGAGTATTTTAAGTTGATTCCACTGTTGATGGGAAAATGAAAGTGTTCACGGCGCTACTTCAAACTCCGCACACAAACACCTTGTGACTGTGGATAGGCAGTTCACTTACCAGGAATTAAATCGCAGAATAAGTCAGTTCTCATACTTTGGTTGATGCTAATGACAAACCTGCTTAGCTTGCTCCAGGGGGGATAAACTGTCGGGTCATGCAGTGCAAAACTGGTGTTTAAGAATGCTTCCAGTTTTGATTGGAGATAAGATTGAAAGTCCAGCTAAAAATGAAGTGTGGCAGGGCAGATAGCCTACCTAGAAGTTTTGATTAACGAGTACCTGCACACTAGATGTAAAGCATTTCCAAATCACACACTGAAACCAAAGCACCGCTACATTACTCATTTTCCTGAACTGATTTTCCACTTTGGCCCTTAATCCATTTGTGGACGCTAAGATTTGAAAGCAAGCATACATATTTCAAGCAGTGTGCTTGGAAATCACATAACTTCAAGAATCTCTGTCAAACGCCTGCAGCGATACATCAGCTTCTCCAGGCATACCTTTATGCTGACAACTTCTTTCCACCAGATATTATTCTGGAAAGAAGCACAGAATTTTAATATGACTAAAAATCATATTAATATGACTTCGCTCTCGAATATGACTTCGCTCTATATAATATGCACTGCCCCTCAAAAGCCGCCGCAATGTGAGTTTCACCGGGAAATCTTGCTCTTGACGGAGACGCGAGTAAGGGACCGTGTGTGGAAAGTGCAGTTTTTCTGACACGTTTGTTCAAACACTATATTCAATTTTCAACACTTGACAAGCTATAATCCTGGTTATGGGCGTTCCGTTGCCGACAATATCTGCCTACGGTTTACCAATAACAACTGACTGGGTCATTTGACCAATCGCCGCAGATTCGGGTCACTCAAGGAGGTGTTTGGAAAAATGAATCGTCGAACGAATCATTTGGGAGTCGTTGAGCAAATCAGCTTAAAATAAATGCATATTATAAGACAAATTAAGTGTTTTTTTAATCCTTGCATGCACATTAAACTGTTTTTGGGAACTCCTAAAACAAAAATATGAACATTTCAAATGCTATGATAGGGGCTCTTTAAATATATTGTAAATAAAATGTGGCAGGACATGGATTAGGAAGAGAAATTAAGACATTTATAAAGCATCCAGAAAGAAGTGATGGTTAAAAAGAACAGTATAAGAAGACAGGAGGACATTATGCTTACAAGGACGAGAATAGGGAACACAAGATTAATAAACTGCCTGAAGTTAATAGGAAAACACCAGAATGGAGTATGCATTCATTGTGGAGAAGTGGGAAAAGTAAAACATACACGATTAATGAGAAGAAAGCACTCTGAAAAAAAAAGAAAAGAACTAAGGCAACAAAAAGTAAAAAACAAAAAACAAAAACATCTGAGTTTGCCTGGCATATAATCTATAATTAAGGGTGTTATGATCTTTGTGAAAGGAACTCAGCATTTAGGTTATATTATTTTTATTTTGTTTTATTTAGTTTAAATGAGTATAAATGAGATCCCAATAATTTCACACCTCAATCCAGAAGATGGCGGTAATGCACTTTGTTTGCAAACTGCCAATAAAAACCACAGAAGAAGAAGAAGAAGAAGATCCTCGTTGGGAAGTTTTGTGTTGCTAGTGAACATCTGTGAGCGTTTCTTCCAGTGGTTTTGTATCCCCGTGGATTCATCTTCGACTGATTATTCTCTTCCTGATTCTTTGCTGCCTCTCCTGGACTGTTTTGCTACTGTGGACTGATTTATGTAAGTTTGCTTTCTGCCCAAAACCCATGCCTGTTTTCGGATTAGGAGTTGCTTTCTCTTCTGTTCTTTGTTAAAGCCGTTTTAAAAAAGAAAAAAAAATCTCCACAAATCAATGTTTTGAGGGAAACACTTTTTTTAGAGAAAGTTTTCACTCTGTTAGCATAAAACATATATTTGAGAATTTTTCAAAGTATTTTGAGTTTTTTTTTCTCCAATTATTTTTTTATGTTCTATGAGAACACTTTCTCTCAACTTTTTTTTTATTCTCAAATATTATTATTTTTTTTTGCTATTGGTATGAAATCTTTATTGGTAAAAAAAAATCTCATGAAATGCTTTTTTATTAACATCAGATCATTTAATCTCTCGCATATAATAAAGACACGATCCTAGCTCCATAGATCGGCCCTAAAAATGCTGGTCAGAGGATCTCTACAATTTAATGTGCCAATTTACAGAATATCTCAGGGAACTTTTGGAGACAGAGGTTTTTCAGCTGCTCAGTTAAACATGATGGCCCTTGTACTTTTTAAATGCAGATTGGATAAAAACAGTGATCAGAGTTTACAGCTGCAGTGAAGGCCCTCCCAGTAATTCGGCAATAAATAGACTGGGAATATTCCTATCATCCTACAAGAGAAGGACAAACTCCAGGAGTAGCAGCTGAAATCTGTGTGACTGTTAAAGATGGAGTTTATTAAAGAGGAGATTGAAGACGTGAGTGATTCAGAACCATCCAGAATAAAACTTGAAGATTCTGAGGAACAAATAGGTTGGTGTCCATTCCTGATTCTTCATTGTTGACGCTTTGGTAGATGTGAATTAATACGCTGTATATGGATGATAAATTAAATACATCAAAATTATCATAACCGTGTATATAGCAGTTGCCAAACATATTGTTACTATAGTAACAATTAATGACAGAACAAAAAGTGAAAGATCTCTCTTGTTTTTTGCTATTAAATAAGGGTTCACTTGAACTGATTCTAATTGTATTTCTGTGTATTTTAGACCAGGTGAGAGTGAAAGAGCAAAGACAAGAACTGAATGAAGAGGAGGAACATCGTAACTTAACAATTCAAAGAACAAAAGCCAAAAAGATGCACACCTGCATTTATTGTGGAAAAAGTTTCACACAGAAAGGAAACCTTAACACACACCTGAGAATTCACACTGGAGAGAAACCCTATACATGCACTCAGTGTGGAAAGGGTTTCAGCGATATATCAGGTCTCCGTTATCATCTGCTCGTTCACTCTGGAGAAAAGCCATTTAACTGTGATCAGTGTGGTAAACAATTAATTTCATTATCAAAACTAAAATCACACCTGAAAGTTCATTCAGATGAGAAGCCTTATGTGTGCTCTCTCTGTGGAAAGAGTTTTTTATGGCTGGGCAGTTTTAAACGGCACCGGGAAACGCACAATGTAGTGAGAGTTTATTTGTGCTTTGACTGTGGGAAGAGATTTAATTCATCTGAGAGTCTGAAACAGCACCAAAGAATTCATACTGGAGAAAAACCTTACAAGTGCTCATATTGTGACAAGAGTTTCACTCAGTCTGGATCTCTGAAATCACACGAGCGAGTTCACACTGGAGAGAAGCCGTATTACTGTACTCAGTGCGGGAAGAGTTTCGCCCGATCGAGTAATCTAGTGACTCATATTAGAAAGTATTGTTCTGTGTCACAGCGAGCAAGTGATTTGTTAGATTCACATAAAGTAAATGTGTAGTTAGTTAACTAATAAACTAGTCTTGCTGTGAAATGCTACATGATTTGTGTTTTATATGTTGGAGAACAAGAATATTATTGAAAATGATTTGGATTGAATGCTTACTCAAAGAAATACCAAAATGAAAAGAGACTGGAAAGTAATGTAGAAAAACGACAACGATCAGTTATTTAACATGTCACAGTATGGGTTCTGTTTCATGGTGTCCACTAGAAATCCTCCTTTCACCCACGTTGTCATTCACATTAGAAACTGCATTTCCCACCATCCTTGTCTGTTCTCATCATTGTTCATTGCACCCAGGTGTTACCCATTATAATCGTTAGTCTGGGTCTATAAGGACCCTGCTTGTTTAGTGTTTGTTACGAGTCCTTATCTATTATAACACCATGTCTGAGATCATTTTCTGTTGGCTTGTTCCCTGGATTGCTTATGTGGATGTTGACCCCTGCCTGGACTGTTTTGTGAGTAACGGATTTCCCTGTTAAAAACTTGATGCATTATTGGATCTGCTGTGATATGATCATATCCTACTAAGCTATTCTGGAGCAGGTTTAATTCTGGGTTAGAGATCACAGACCAAAACTTGACCAATCAGGGGTGCGTTTCCCGAAAGCATCGTTAGCCAACTATGGTCGCAAGTTCTGTCGTTATCAGCATAGTTCAACGAGTCGGTGTTTCCCGAAACAATCGTTCCAACGAACAGGTCTCTCAACCTATGCTTAGATGCGTAGTTTGTTTATTGTATCACATTTGGGCGTAATAAATCCTTATCTTGAGCAAAATAAGCAAGTTGACATTCAGTACAACCGGTGCCTTTTATTTAGAATACAATGGAGTTTGCGTTTGTTAGTTTCTCAAAAGATTTGGCGTACCGATTTTGAAGAGTGTGCATGTGCGAACGTGCTCTACTATGTAAAAACGAGCCAAATATTGAGTCTGGTAATAAAGCCAAATAACTGTGAACAATTAGAAATAGTCCCCCAGATGACATGTCTGTAATTTATATATAAAAAATAGCATTAATTGGATCTCAAACATTTTCATTAAAAGTAGTTGTTGAACTATACTTTGCGACAATGGGTTTCGGGAAACAGTCCCTGTCTAGCTAGTTGATTTCTCCAACGATGCATCGTACTATGGTAGTGAAGCAGCGAACTACATAGTTGTACGGGAAACGCACCCAGATAGCAAACTGACATTGAATCAACGTGGAAATATGACATAGAATCAACGTTGATCTGACATTGTTTTGCTCATCGAATTAACGTTGAACCAACGTCAGACGCGTCATTCTTTCAAAACTAACGGAAAATCAACTTGAAATCAACGCGTTGTTTCAACGTTATGAAAGCAAACCAATTTTCGATTTTCATTTAGCTTTGAAGAATGCCGCGTCTGACGTTGGTTCAACGTTAATTCGATGAACAAAATCAACGTTGTTTCAATGTAAACGATGCTAGTTTTGAAAACGGAGAGGGGGAAAATATTCGTTTTGCTAAATACCTGGCTTTTTGTGTAAACGTGGCCTAAGTCCAGTTTTTAGTGTGAAAAACTTTAAAGACAAAATTGTCCATATTTTGCTGCTAATTATATATATATTATTCACACAGGTTGGATTAGATCAGTTTTACATGTTAATAAATCTTTAATTTTACTACATTCATTGCAGGACACTGCAAAAAATGTGAAGTGCCTTAAATGTCAGTGTAAATGCAATAAAGAAAAATAATATTTAAATGATGATCTTGCTACAGCTTTTGCTTGAACATGTTATTCATATCTGAGCATTTCTGTAATATGCTTTAGTTTTAATTTTGCAACTTATAAAGTGTTAAAATCAGTATTCAATTTACTTATATAAAATTTGTGTATGAAATGGCAAATGTAAATTATATAATTGATTTTTCATTTTCTTTTTGCACCAACGTAAAAAAAAAATACTTTAAATACAAAAAGGCGTTGCCATTTTACATATTGCATTGTCATTTTGCATATTACACTGTACAAAAATATTGTTGGTTTAACTTAAAGTAAGTAACCTGGTTGCCTTAAAATTTTAAGTTCATTGAACTGGGAAAAAAAGTGAGTTAATACAATGAAGGAGATTAATTTAATCATCAGAAACTCAAAATTATTTGTTATCTGAACTAAATAAATTATTTAAGTTGATTTGACAAAAGAAAAAATGTTGTGATCACTACACTGTAAAAAAATACTGTTGGTTTAACTTAAAGTAAGTAACCTGGGTTGCCTTAAAATTTTAAGTTGATTGAACTGGAAAAATTGAGTTAATACAATGAAGGAGATTAATTTAATCATCAGAGACTCAAAATAATAAGTTATCTCAACTAAATAAATTATTATAAAGAAGTTGATTTGACAAAAGAAAATATGTTGTGATCTTGAAAATATTTTTTTTACAGTGTACATTTCAAATTGAATATTGCTACCCGAATAATTCCATAATTATCTGAATAACTAGATTCTCTTGTTTGAACCTATAGTTACCTTTTAAACAAAACATGATTGCCTGATTTTATTATTATTTCAATTAGTTCAAATAAATATTGTTAGATACCAATAATAAGAGCTGTGAATATTAAGCAAATAAACTAGGAATATAAATGCACTTAAATAATAATCTTGTACAGCAGTTGTCATTCACATTTTGACTATTAACAAGAGGATTACAAAATTAACCTTTGGTACAACAAAAATATGATATTTGACAGACAGATCTCACTTGTTTTCTGTTACAAAATCAGGGTTCATTTGAAAATTCGCATTTATCCTCCTTCAACTCATTCTAACAGCTTCATATGTTTTAATATCAGACCAGGTGGAAGTGAAAGAGCAAAGACAAGAACTGAAGTGAAAGGTGATGCTGTAGTTTGTTTCAGCCTGTTGACACCAATACAATGATCTTAATGTGCCAATTTACAGAAGATCTCAGACATCACCATAATGAATGAGCTGAAAACAGGGAACTTTTGGAGACAAAGAGGTTTTTCAGCTGCTCAGTTAAACATGATGGCCCTGTACTTTTTAAATGCAGATTGGATAAAAACACAGTGATCACAGTTCGCACCTGCAGTGAAGCCCCTCCCACAATAATTCACCATTAAATACTGGGAATATTCCCATCATCCTACAAGAGAAGGACAAACTCCAGGAGTAGCAGCTGAAATCTGTGTGACTGTCAAAGATGGAGTTTATTAAAGAGGAGATTGAAGACGTGAGTGATCCAGAACCATCCAGAATAAAACTTGAAGATACTGAGGAACAAATAGGTTGGTGTCCATTCTTGATTCTTCATTGTTGACGCTTTGGTGTCATGATAGAGAAATACATCCAAATGATCATAACCTTTATAAAACAAATTTAAACTATATGTTAACAATTGAATGACAGAACAAAGAGTGAAATATCTGATCTCTGTTTCTTTCAATTAATTCGAACTGTATTTCTGTGTTTTTTTGACCAAGTGAGAGTGAAAGAGCAAAGACAAGAACTGAATGAAGTGGAGGAGGAACATCTTAAATTTACAATTCAAAGAACAAAAGCCAAAAAGATGCACACCTGCACTCAGTGTGGAAAGAGTTTCTCACAGAAAAGAAACCTTAACACACACATGATAATTCACACTGGAGAGAAACCCTATACATGCACTCAGTGTGGAAAGAGTTTCACATTTTCATCCACACTCAATTATCATCTGCTCCATCATCCTGGGGGAAAAATATTTAACTGTGATCTGTGTGGTAAAGCTTTTATTTCATCATCACAACTAAAACAACACTCGAAAGTTCATTCAGATGAGAAGCCTTATGTGTGTTCTCTCTGTGGAAAGAGTTTTTCATGGCTGGGCAACTTTAAAAAGCACCAGAAAACACACACTGGAGTAAGAGATTATGTGTGTAGTGACTGTGGGAAGAGCTTTACTACAACTACCCATTTGAAAAGGCACCAAATAATTCATACTGAAGAAAAACCTTACAAGTGCTCATATTGTGACAAGAGTTTCATTCAGTCTGGATCTCTGAAATCACACGAGCGAGTTCACACTGGAGAGAAGCCGTATTACTGTGCTCAGTGTGGGAAGAGTTTCACCCACTCAAGTCATCTAGGGAAACATATTAGAAAGTATTGTTCTGTGTCACAGTGAACAAATGTTTTGTTAGATTCATTGAACTACACATTAAGTAAATGTGAAGTTAGTTAACTAATAAACTAGTGTTGATGTAAAATCCCACATGTTTTGTGTTTTATATGTTGGAGAACAAGAAAGAAAATGATTTTGATTGAACCCTTACTTAAAGAAATGCCAAAATGTCAGATGTCAAAATAATAGTTATGCAGGGGGGCTATATAGAAGGCTGAAGCCCCCCTAAAAAGGGCCTGGTCTTCAACGTGTCTTCAACAGGGGTCATTGAAGCCAAAGTCTTACTTTCCCGTTAAGTTGAGAGAAAGAAGGGATTATCTTGATGTTTTGAGAAGACTCTCCTGTTTATAGAGCCTTGCCAAATCCAACCTTGGAAAAGCAGTGTGTTGATGTGTGTGTGTTAGTCTGGAACCACTGGCATTATTGGAGATTGAGTGAATTGTTGTTCGAGACATGCAACGCCCCATAACCCAAATCTGCGACCTGGAAGGTCATCATGACGTGCCTAACTTCAGGATCCGAGTGTCAGCTGCATAATCGACTGAGATGTGCTTCTGTCTATCTGTATATTTGTGGAAAATTACTGTGTTTATCTATTTCTTAGCCAATGAGAATCATTCAACCTGTAAGCAATGACGTAGCTTAGACCTTGGAAAGGGTACAACTGCTGTGATCTTTGTAACTGTAAGTCTACAAACTCTGTGTTAGTCTTGAAGCTGACTTCTGCTGATGAAACTGTAAACTATCTTCGGTAAAACTTTTCTTTATTTTTTTACAATTCTGATTATGACTTCAGTCTTCATATAATAATAATAATAATAATAATAATAATAATATATTTTATTTGTAAAGCACTTTTCATAGTTAAAACAATCCCAAAGTGCTACAGAGTATAAATATTTGGCTCTGGTTCTTTGACTGTATACCCCTTATAGGGACATACTAATTCTTTTTTTCAAATTCTATTTATGACGGATAGATGCAAATTGGGATGCAGCATCCGAGTCAGTCGACTTTCAAATCATCATTTCAGCTGTTCTATAACCGAAAACTCAGAGTTTCCCATCTTAAGGTAAGTCAATTCAGAATTCAAGTTTTAACTCAGAGTTGGTTGAACCTCCTTATTGAAATAGGCCCCTGGACTGTTTTCTACTGTAGACTGATTTATGTAAGTTTGCTGCCTGCCCTTATGCCTGTTTTCAGATTACGAGTTGCCTGGTCTCTATGTTGTGTTTGCTGGATAATGACCCTGATATATTACGACGATTATATTTCATACTCTCTTTACGGTGCTCCCATTTTGACAGATCTGCTATTGCTTTTACTACTCATTTTTCTTTTCCTCAGGTATCTCTCTCAGTCTCTTTTAAGTCTTTCTTCATATTTTATAGGGTCAGCTTTTATTTTGTCCCTATAGGCCTGTGACCGTTCTTTCGTTGTCTTAGGTGGCATCTAAATGAAATCAATTAATATAAAAGTCATAATATAAATATAAAAAGGATTGTAATGTATTATAAAATAATATAAAACGTATTATACAAATCTACTCTTTCAATCCATATGAATTGTACTTTGTAGCGCAAATGTCATTTCCACCACAGAGGGCAGTGTTGTGGAAATGACTGTGGTGGAAATGACATTTCTGTAGTTTTTGTGAAAAAAAATGGAAGATAGCTTCACTGATTAGCTTTTAATCAATACTTAGCATTTCATGAATGCAAAATACTCTTTATTTACTCTTTACTTTTTTAACACCCTTGAAGGTACAGCATGTTTGGAAATGACATAGAATAAAGGGTGAATAGGTGAGGTTTAAAAGTATGGGTGTGGGACAAGGAGAAAACAGTGATTTCGTCCCCTAGAAGGAAGTTGAAAACTATGAAAAAACCCTAATAGAAAGGTAGGGAAACATTTTTAGGTTGTTTTATTGTTTGTTTGACAAAGAAAGAAAAGTTGTCCAAAATTATATGCATTTTTAAAAATATGACCAAAGTACATAAGTGCCCATAGTCTAAAGCCAAGTTCACACTACAGCATTTTAAGCCTGATTTAAGCCCGATTTGCAAATCGTTGAGCTCGCCGACAGGTCATGGTGTTATCGCGTGCAAATCGCGGGGGATTACCGGGTGATGAACGCTTGCCAATCTGTTAGTATGAAAGAACCAACAACGCATCAAAGATGTTCGCAGACGTGTCGCAAGTCTCAACCTCAGTGATGTCATGAGCTACAGCCAATCAGAGCAAGGCATGGGTTGAGGTCATCGGGAAAATCGTATTTTTTCTTTATTTGCATTTTTTTTTCTCAGAGCAAATCATCACGCAAACAGTGTGCAGCACTAGTTTCTGTCTGACGTCAATATTCACGTGTTGTGTTCTTCGTCTTCTTTGCTGGGTATTTGTGCTGTTTCGTGTCATTTCCGGTTCGTTTTATCACATGATTTTTCCTGACAAAACGTGGTTTGTAGACAAGATAGAATCGTTGGGTGACAGAGGGTGCTTCAAATTACCTTGTGTCCTTTCCTCGCTTCCTTCCCTGCCGCTTCTTAGCTTCTTAGCCCTCGCTTCGCTTCTTAGGACGCGAGAGAGGAAGCGAGAAAAGGAAAGGAGGACGGAGGAATCGAATAAAAGCTTTTTGGGATACTTGATCACTTGAGCGTCACTCCACAGTGTCATCAGCAGCTCTAAAAGGATCTGCCCTTATCTTGTTGAAGTTTGGTTATTTAATAAATTCATAATAAATAATAATAAAGATGTGTGGTGTGAACAGCTCAACAACTTGAAGACTCCTGATTTCACAGAGAGCAAGTCATGCAGTGTGAAGCAAGAAATGGAAATAGAATACTTGTACCATTCGCACATGTATAGAACTTTATGATATTGTTCACATTAAAACTATACTGTATTCTTGTCTGAGTGTGGGTAATCTCTGCAAAAGTGGGGGATACGGAGAAAAAGTGTGTGTGTGTGTGTGTGTGTGTGTGAGAGAGAGGTGTTCAAATTTTAATTTGCTATCCAGTAAATCACAAATAACTGAGAAAGTTATGTGGCCTTTTGAATTTAGTTGTGGACAATGTGGTGGCCTTGAAGTCAGAAAGGTTGAAAACTGTTGATTTAAAGCGTCCCTATTCGCCACCTCAGTTTGTGACTGTCTTCCTCTCTGGAGAACAAAAAAGGCTTTTGCAGTTGAATCCGTTAGGAGAGGAGCAGATAGGATCTGAATGGATTTGGACACTGAGCCACAGAGGAACATTGAACCTATTTTTCAGGGTCAGGTTGCACTTCACTCTGTGTTGAGGGGAAACGTTATCATGTAACACCTGCGCAGGGATCTGTACCGTCATTCAACATCTCACATATTGCAAGGACACGTTATTAAATTTGACTTGCCTCGCGATTTTGCCATGCTTGTGTAATTTTGCTCAGGAATTTAGTGGAACTCAGATGTATTGTACAAAGAAGAGGCTGTTTAGAGCACTTACATTAGCTGTAAGTGTTTCTCTAATGGGGGAACGTCAGACACATCCCAGTAATCCCATTTCAGTTCTTAAAAAAAAAAAAAAAAAAGATTGACTCATCAACTTTTTTTCTGATGTCAGGTTTTGTTCAGGAATGCCGAGGTAGTGCGTTTGTGTGTATATTGAATTTAGTCTGTTTGTGGGTGTAATGCACGCCTGGAGGAATGGGCATTGTTGTGGGTGTGCATGCATCGTCTCTAACTGCATTTCCTCTCTCAGCTGGGAGATGTGATGGTGGATATCTCCAGTAATCTGATGCTGGCTGATGAGCGAGTGTTATGGATGGCTCAGAGGGAGGCGCGAGCTTGCTCTCGTATCGTTGAGTGCCTGCAGAGGATTGCCGTTCTCCGAATACTGTAAAAATCTAGCCTGGCTAACACTAGGACTTCATTTTCTCGTATTTGAGGCGTGGTTTACGAATACCCAGAGCCGTATTATTGGGTGCTACGAATGTCTACCTCCCCGTTCTGTGATTGGTTCCCTTTTTCAGGGGGAAATTTGGTTGATGGTATCCAGACTGCCTAGCAGCGTAAATAAGATCGCGCTACTGCAAGGCAGAATGGGGAAACCCAGGCTAGCAAAAATCCTTCCAATTGTTAATTTTAAAAGAATTGTCTCCTAAATCGGCCGCCAATACTGTCTATTACTATTTTATGAATATTTATATTTTATTCGTTTTTATTAATATTTTGAATTACATTTTTATATTTTCAGTTTTCATTTTAATTAGTTTATGTGCTTTAGTATTTGTTTTATTTAAAAAAAATGTATTTAAATAAAATAAAAAGTAATTTTACTAAATAATAACAACAACTCTGTCAATTTAAAGGTGCATTGCGCAACTTTTCATGTTAAAAATAGCCGTTTTCTAACCCATACATGCTTAAACAATCGCCTGATGGGCTGAATGAGCCCTTCTTTGATCACTGCGATCGCCTCTATAACCCTGTACAGTGAAATATATAAGAGGGATTCGGGCTCGAATCTGAGACTGGGCGTGACGTCATGCACGTTCACGCTCGCCTGGCTATGTCTGGCAGGTTCGTGTAGCTATTCGCCGCCGTTCTCCGTATCAGAGAAGACAACTCGAGCGACACAACTCTAGTCAGCTTTCCACAAAAGTAGACGATGGATTCAAAGGGGCTGTTTACACCTGGTCACTTCATGTACGTGTCTTCTGTGATCGGATAGCTATTCGATCGTGAAAAGACCAGGGTGTAAATGCCCTCCGAAACGCATTCGAGACGGATTTGAATTCGATCGCTCAAACCACTTGAGGACGTGGTCTGTGCCGTATTCCAGACGAAACTGGACAAGTGTAAATGCATCTGGTTGTTGAAACCAATTAAGCTATATGTCATGATATTTTAGTCATATATGACGACGCGCATCACCTGAGCAGCTGAGCTGAGCCCCTTCATCAAGCGCCGCAATCTATCGCAAATCAAAGTGAATTAGCCTAGTGAAAGTAAGTCGCAGACGCTTAACACTACCATCTTCATTAAAAGTAAAGAAATGAAATGATCTTACCAGTTCTGTTGCCGATCTCTCTTATTGCTGTCTTTGCTGATTTTGAAATTAGCCGATGATTAATAAAATCCAGCTCATATCTGTTGCTTTCGGTGACGTGCACTTTATTAAATCTGTATATGGCGCGGAAAGAGACCGGCTTGTAGCTCATTACAAACCCCAACGCAAACTCCACGTGAGACAGAAAATAAAACTTCTGTCTCCAGTGCCATGCGTCGGAATAAGACGAGAGTCAACATCGGGAAGCTTTCAACAAACGGAGAGATCTCCGGTCGGCTCTAGGGCTCAAACGGGTCATAGCCTATACAAAGTGATAACTGAACGTGTTTCCATAATAATTCAATCATAAGTGGATACAGTAAGCACAGGGAGATAGATGGAAACAAAAACCGAAGTTTTCTACTACCCCCGTTTCCCCCTCTCACACAAGTGTGTAATTTACTCGAATGCCTTTCCTTTCATATATTTTAAATGACTTGCAGATTTATTACTGTATTACCTCATTATGACTGTAACAAAAGATGTGTGCCGCACAGTGTGCGGATGATGCTCCTTAGTTATGAACAGCTCGTGCAAACGTGCGTATGTGTGTGTGTGTTCCTCCATGAACGCGCACAGCTCTGGTTGCAGTTTCGCTTGTCGCCAGAGGGGGCGTAGTTCTGCAAAAACTCAGAGACTTGCGTTTAGCTCCTTTAAATATTTAAATAGAAATATTCCTCAGTATTCAGAAGTTCCGTGTAACCAGAAGTTCATTTATACAACAGCTCAAATAACACACATTTATTTTGAATTAATATTTTTTTAAACGCTTCGGAATGTAACGGTCACCAGCTGGAGTGCCCTTTTGAGCCAGCAGAGGGCACTCCAGATAAGACTATTATCACTTAGAAACTACATTTCCCAGAACTCACTGCCCGGACTCAATCATCACTGATCACATTCACCTGTACCTCATTCACTGATTGGATTCACCTGTGTCTCATCCTGTTAGTCTGTCTATATACACCTTATTCAGAGCAGCGCCATGACAGGTATGAAAGTGAGGCTGTGAGGGATAGACTTACCGTGTTTCCAATGGCATCCGCTGTAAAAAGCTGAATAAAACTGCTAGATACTTACAATTTTCCACAGCTTACATTGTCGGGAGTTTTTTTGTCAACTGAAATTTCTTGGAAAGATATTTTTTCAGTGTTTCATGAGCAGAACAATCCGAAAACACATTAAATATCAGTACAGCCCATTGAAGAGATGCATGACTATCCCTCACAGCCTCGCTTTTATTCTCATTAAAAATCAAAGATGGCGCTGCCGTGAATAAGGCGTATTATACCTTGTGTTCACATTCACTGTTGGCGAAGTCTTGTTGTACTGTGTCTGCATTTCTGAGCGTTTTCGATTTTGGATTGTTCTTGGATTCTGATTATTCAACAGTGAATGTGAACACAAGGTATATATAGACAGACTAACTGTCAGGATTCAGACTTGGAAACAGAGGTAAGTGATGAACATAAACTTTTCTTTATTTTCAAACAAAGGCAAGTATTCAGGATTTCAGGTGCTTAGAGGTGATCTACGAGGAGGATACGTGGCAGGAAGTAATCCAGGTGAGTAAATCCTCTTCTTTAGGAATAACATAAACGATGAGACAGGACAATTACTTTCCTTTTCTCTCTTTCAGCTCTTCTTCGAGCAGACGGGGTGCAGGAAGGATTCCAGGTGAGTAGATCCTTTTTAGTGCAGTAAATAGGGAACTAACACAGTTCAGTGATTCTTGCCTTTTCTCTTTACAGAGCATCCATTAGGTGAACGAGACTCGGGGCAGATTCCAGGACACAGAGAACGAGAATCATGGAGCAGATCCTGGGAACATCAGAACACAGACAGAGAGGTTGGTAGGGATGGCTGATGCGAAACAGACGTTCCGAAGCTTTGCGAGATCCCGAAGCAAAAATGATTCGAAACACTGATCCGAAGCGTGATTCAAAACACCCAGAGTCACGTGACAAAGGCTAAATGAAGCTTCTAAGTGTTTCATCAGGTGGAGTGCTCCGCCGAATCAGGGTTTGATTGATAGGTCGGTCGGGAAGGATCGCGTGAGCAAAGTGCACACAGAATGCCTATTCTTAAAGTCTTGTGCTATTTAATGAAGGCAAAAACCCATATAATGGTTTCAATTTTAGTTCATTGGCAAAATATAAAGCTAGAGACAATGATAGTTTATACTTTTTACATCTCATGTTCGGCAAAAGCCAGGTTCGAATTTGAGGCCAAGCACATCAATTGCTCTTTCAAAAACTACGTGCTCAATGATCTACACCACTGTAGCTGTTCGTGATAGGCCTGTTTTTGCTCAAAACACCCCCCCCCATACATATATATATATATATATATATATATATATATATGGGGGAGGGGTGGTGTTTTAAGCAAAAACAGGTATATATATAAATATACCTGTTTACAAAAACATACAAAAACATATATATATATATATATATATATATATATATATATATATATACATGTATATATATATATATATATTGTCTCTAGCGTTATATTTTGCCAATGAACTACTATTATATGGCTTTTTGCCTTCATAAAACAGCACAAGACTTTAAGAATAGGCATTCTGTGTGCACAATATAGACAGATTAATAGAAAGAACAGAAGAGAAATTAATATTTTTAAATAAAAATCTATAAGAAAGTGAGACATTGTGGCTTGATTTGTTTTATTAATTTTTCATGACCAAAATAACATTATGCAATGTGAAGAGACTACAGGTTACAAGAATCATATATTTAAAAAATACAATAATAAAAAAAAAAACACATTGTTGTCAGATCAACACCTGCAATTGACCACTAGGTGTCACCATGGAGACGGGTGTCGGATTGATTCGAAGCCTCGAAACAATATAGCACATTTGCTTCAACTGTTTCATTGCTTCACAAAGCCTCGATCTGCCCATCACTAGAGGTTGGTCTTTTCAGGTGAGTATACTTTACTATTCAGCTCGCTGGATGACTCGGGGAGAAGCAAGTGGAGACTGGTTAGGGTCTTTTCCTGTTGGAGGCTTGACAAGGAGTGAACGTGAACTGGGTGCTTTTGTGCTGGCTGGGAAAGGCGTGCAGGTGATTAGTAATCTGGGGACAGTGATCGTTGCGTGGTGACTAGGGAGGACTCTGATTGGCTCCTGACACTAACAGGATGAGACACAGGTGAATGCAATCAGTGAATGAGGTACAGGTGAATGTGATCAGTGATGATGAGTCTGGGCAGTGAGTTCTGGGAAATGTAGTTTGTGAGTGATAATGGTCTTATCTGGAGGTCCCTCTGCTGGCTCAAAAGGGCACTCCAGCTGGTGACCGTTACACAGAATGCCTTGCCACTTGCAATTTTCATCGAAAGTTCTGTAAATTAGATTTTTTTTTCTTCTTACAAATTAAGGGTTAAGCCAAAATAATGTCACTGATAACTGACTGACATTAGGTCTTCAATAAATGATTAATAGTATTAAAGTTATTCTTACACAAGCATTTCTATTTTGTGCATCATAACATCAAGTACTTAATGTCTATGTTGAGTTTAAATATTACTTTGGAATTACTGAAAAATAGTGCGATTTCTTACATCACTTCATAAATGGAAAATACAATGCATAATATGTTGGTATATTTAGAGGTGTGTGTTCTTGCAAAACATAAATGAAATTAGAATGGTCCCCTTATTAAAAGCAGCTGAAAAGTTTTCGTAATTTTTTTTTTTTACCTGAAATAAATGTATGTATTTTTATATGCTTTCTTTTTTTTTTTTTCAACAAAATATAGCAAACTATTAACTTTTGTGTCAGTACGGTTTTCAATGTTTTTGCAAAGTAGCCATTCTTTATTGTTGTCTGTTTTAACAGAACTCTCATAACATCGCTCTGGAGGCTCATGCCATCAAGGCCAGCAGCTTCAATGGGATGACCTGCACTGTGTTCCAGAAGGTCTCACCGGAGCGCACACCCATGGCCCATTTCTCTCCCAGAGACTCCGACATCAACCCAGAGCGCCAGCTCAGCTTCAAATGCAACGTGACCAGCAACCTGTCAGCATTGGTTCACAAAGTATGTGTTTTTCTCTAGTACTTTCTGTACATCAGTGTGTGTGGAGTATACAGTAGTGTAGATGTTTTGTCACCGCATATAAGATGAGTGTTTCGTCAATCCGATAACATCAATAAAGCTGTGGAAGCAGGAAAATATCCATCATGTCTTGACAGTAACGTTATTGCATCTCCATGTGTGCAGAACGCTATAGTGGAGGCGTCACTACAGCTTCCCCCGTCTCTCTTCTCATCTCTGGGAAGTTCAGGTCAGGCCGAACTTCATAGCCTTCCGCAACGGCAAACTCTTCCCCCAACGGGAAACTCCACCGTCTTCAGTGATGGCTGCAAGAGGAGGAGCGTGGCCACACCTGTGATTCTCACAAAGATTGGTAAGAACACACTTGGTGCTGATCCTACTGCCTTCTTGGGTAAAATCAGACATGCACTCAAACCCACTTCATTTTTGAGGTTATACAATATTTCTACCTGGATAGAAAGCAAAGTAAAGTATAATAGTTTAAAAATGAAGAATTAAAGATCCAGAAGAAAAATGCACTTTAGTTGTAACTGTCACCATGAGTAATACAAGTTAAATGTTTGTTTCTAAATCAAACTAATAAAATAACAACTACAGCTACTTTTTTTCCACCCTGGACGAAAGTCACACCTGACTTTAAGTTGCTCCAGGTCAAAACTGCATAAGAAATAATAAGTTGCAGCGATGTATAAGTCACATTTTATCAGTAAATTCAGAAATAATGTAAAATGCCAATGAATAAAAGTGAAACATTAAGTGAAACTGAAACTACCATCATGAGTAAAACGCACCATATATATATATATATATATATATATATACTACCGGTCAAAAGTTTTAGATCAGTACGATTTTTTTATGTTTTTAAATGAAGTCTCTTCTGCTCACCAAGGCTGCTTTATTTGATAAAAAAAATAAAAAAAAAATTATTTAAAAAAAAATAAAAAAAAAAATAACAACAGTAATATTGTGAAATATTATATCAATTTAAAATGACTGTTTTCTATTGTAATATATTTTAAAATGTAATTTGAAAGCTGAATTTTCAACATCATTACTGTTGCTAATTACACATCAGTTTCCAGTGTCGCGTGATCCTTCAGAAATCATTCTAATATGCTGATTTTATGCTCAAAAAACATAAATTATTATTTTCAATGTTGAAAACAGTCGTGTACCATTTCCCCCCCCCCAAAAAAAATTCTATGAATAGAAGTTTCAAAAGAACAGTATTTATTTAAAATATAATCTTTTCTAACAGTATAAATGTCTTTACTGTAACTTTTGATCAATTTAACTCATCCTTGATGAATAAAAGTATTTTCTAACTTCTTTCCCCCCCAAAATAAAAAATAAATTCTTACTGACCCCAAACATTTTAATGGCAGTGATTAATGTTACAAAAGCTTTCCATTTCAGATCAATTCTGTTCTTTTGAACTTTCTATTCATCAAAGAATCCTGAAATAAAAATGTAAAAATCTGTTTTCAACATGGATAATAATCATAAATGTTTCTTGAGCATCATATTGTATAATAATTTCTGTAGGATCATGTGACACTGAAGACTGGAGTAATGATGCTGTAAATTCAGCTTTGATCACAGGAATACATTACACTTCACTATATATTCACATAGAAACCCGCTGTTTTAAATTGTAATTATATTTCACAATATTGCTGAGTTTTATTTTTGTTTTTTTTTTATCAAATAATTGCAGCCTTGGTGAGCAGAAGAGACTTCTTTTAAAAACATAAAAAAATCTTACCGATCTAAAACTTTTGACCGGTAGTGTGTGCTGCTATATATATATATATATATATATATATATATATATATATATATATGAAGACTTCAGATGCAAAAGCCTCTAAGTGCCATTTTAAAAAATTTTCTTCTAAAATGATCATTTTTATCAAGCTTGTATATTTAAGTTAAGTAATTTCACTTAAATGGCAATTGCCATTTAAGTGAAATTACTGAACTTAAATATACAAGCTTGATAAAAATGACCATTCTAGAAGAAAATTTTAAATGACACTTAGAGGCTTTTGCATCTGAACTCTTCATATATACACACACACACACACACACAGTTGTGGTAATAGTTATTGGCACCCCTGGTAAATGATCAAAGGCGACTGTGAAAGTAAATCTGCATTGTTTATCCTTTTGAGCAAAAATTTAAATGAATTGAAAGTGGGGGGGAAATAACATTATGAAACAAATGTTTTTTCTCCAAAACACATTGACTACAATTATTGGCACCCCTAGATGAGTAAAATTACGCATCTCTGAAGTGTGTGGAAATAGTATATATATATAGAGAGAGAGACAGAGATAGAGATGACAAAAAAATGCACTAATGTTCTGGAAAATATGTGGATATTTAGAATTGTTATTTTATAGCGGTTTTTATTTTGTAATTTGATCTTTGCTGCACAGCTCTATCATCCATTCCTCCCCCATTTTTGCTTCAAGCGGGTAAAGAGGCATTCTGTCATAGACGCAACAATAATAGCAGCTACTGAAGTGAGAGGCGGCGGCAAAGAACAGCACAGGGAGCTGCTGGGAAAAAAGTTACTCCTATAACAGATTGATTTCACTTTGAAGGATGAGCAGAGTAGAAAGCATTTGCAATCCCATGAAAAATCTGCAAAGGGGTTTGTTTCCCTTAAGAACTTTTCAGTCTCAGTCTTCAGTTTCAGTCATGTGTAAACACACCTAGCAATAAAACTCTTTCTGATTCTAATTCTGAACCATAGTCTTTTTTAGCGCAAAGAACATTTTAACATTTTAACTAAACTCCTCACCTGTGCTGTGTTTGTGGGCAGCATGAACCAAACATACAATGCAAGTGTTTGTCAAGCGGTATGTGCCTGCTTTTCCACATTTATATAAGTTTGGGGGACAATATTTACATTAAATATTTGTATAAGTTTCTCGGTTTTATAGACTCTCAAGTTCACATTTGATACTCTTAATGGAAGTTGCGATTGGTATTTTCTTCCCTATTTTGACATACTGTATATCCAAGTGAAATGACTTCTGGAACAAGAAGAAATGTAGGGTGGGACTTGATTTTGTCTGTGGGGAATTCTTTGGATGGTTGCGCAGCAGTAAACGCATCATCAGAGAAGAGATATCACTGCTAGAGGGAGGGGAAGGCATTTTGATTAAAGATTATGAGGGCACATCATTTTTTTGGTCTTTTTGGTAAGTATTAATGTACAGCACAGTTAAAGGGTTAGTTCACCCGAAAATTTTAATTCTGACATTAATTACTCACCCTCATGTCTTTCCAAAACTCTAAGACTTTCATCATTCAAGATCTTTTTGATGAATTCTGAGAGCTTTCTGTCTCTCCATTGACAGCTGCGCAACTACCACTTTGACGCTTCAAACAGTTAATAAAAACTAATCCATACAAATTGAGTGGTTTTGTCCAAAATTTCTGAAGAGACTCAATCGCTTTATATGATGAACAGATTTAATTTAGGCATTTATTCCCATACAAACATTGATCAGCAAACATAAACAGAAGCTCAACTGAACCTGCATGATGTTCTTACATGAGAATGAACCTCATTGGATCTTGCAGAAGCTCAAACGTGCTGCGTAACGTGGACCTGATTGGTTCTCAAACGTCAAGCGAACATGCCCGATTCATACGGATTAGTTTTACGATCTATTTATGAACTTTTTGAAGCATCAAAGTGGTAGTTGCGTAGCTGTCAATGGAGGGACAGATTTTCATTTAAGAATTTTTCATTTGTGTTGCGAAGATGAACGAAAATTGTGTAATTAATGACCTAATTTTCATTTTTGGGAGAACTATCTCTTTAAATCTTTTATAATAAATAGGCTACTGCAATATTCCATAAAAAAAAAGAAAAAAAAAGAATAGTCCATTTTGATTTCATGAGGAATTTAAATGGTACTTTTTTGAGAATATTTGCATTTTCATTGGCCATGAGGAGAATTCATATGTTTTCTAATGTCTCGTCCTGAAGGTGGGGATAGTGCTGCATTACTCCACACTGGCTACGGCCCTGTGGTCCGGCGTAACGGCACGCAACATCTACAAACAGGTGACGCGGAAGGCCAAGCGCTACGAGGAGCTGGATGAGCCTCCACCTCCACCCAGGCCTATGCTGAGGTAAAGGACAAAGTAATCAATGAGGGTAAAAGAAAAATTGATGTACAAATAATACATAATTTTTATTTAAATAAGTGATTAAAATAGATCATATAATAAATGATTAATAAATGCATTTAAAAAGCAAGCACACGTGATTCATTTTAGGGTACAATATCTGGAAATTCCATTTTACACTTTACACAAACTCTGTGTTTTAAGTTAATTTCCACTGCTCTCCACTTGGTGTCAGTAAACATACAACAGTAAGTAGGCAAATTGATTATCTTTAAAGGAATAGTTCACCCTAAAATCTGTCATTTTCTGACCCTCATGTCGTTACAAACCAGTAGGACTGACTTGCTTCTCTGGAACACAAAAGAAGATATTTTGGAAAAGTGTCTTGATTACCATTGACATTGCATAGACAAAAAGAATATCTTGTTTTGTGATCTGCAGAAAAAAAGTTATGTGGAATTACATGAGGCTGAATAAATTATGTTTAGTAACTTTTAACTTTTTTTTAAATACTACTATAGTATCCAGACTTTTACTAACTTATGATATAGAAACACTATACGTGTAGGCATATGGGTATTCAGTTGATAATTTCTTCTTGATAAGTGCTTTTCTCATTTAAATATTTAGCGTTCTGTAGTTTTAGTAATTTTAACTTATTTTAGATAGTCAAGTCTTAAGTTTTTCATCTAATTTTAAAATTCTATTTTATTTAAGCTTTATTTCATTTAATGAAATGTATTTGTAATATTTTAGTGAACAATAACACTGATTTTCATTTTTGGTGAACTATCCCTTTAAGTCTGGGATACACAACTTGATTTTTGCCCAAATTTTCTGTTGTGTGTGTGATCATCATCAGTCTTTAAGTGTTTCATGCCCAGTTTCTTTCTGTAATCGTTTTTGAAGTTGGCACTTGTATGAAACCTAGACTTTCAGAGTATGTTCATATTTTATCAAGTTGTGTAGTCTATTCTAGCTTTAATGTATGCATGTATATATATATATAAATACCTTACTGATTTAATGTCAACCAGCCTTAAAGGAAGAGTTCACTTAAAATGAAAATTCTGTCATTTACTCACATCAAGTTACATTTCTATTTTGCAGTAAGTATAAGTTAGAACATATTGAAGTATTTTGTTAACTAGACAGTGGATGGACTCCATTGACTTCCATAGAAGAAGAAAGAATACTATTAAAGTCTGTTTTGTCTTCCAACATTTTTCAAAATGTCTTTTTGTGTTCAGCAGAAGAAAGAAATACAGTTTTGAAACAACTTAAAGGGTGAGTAAATGATGACAGAATTTTCATTAAGTGAACTATTCCTTTAAGGCTTCAGTTGACATCATTATTGTTATTGATAATGTTGTTGTTATTGTTTTTTCTTCTACAGATTCTACTTAATAGGTGGAGGCATACCGATCATTGTCTGTGGAATAACAGCTGCTGCTAACATCAAAAACTACGGAAGTCAAGTCAATGCACCTTAGTAAGTATGAGTTTTAGGACACTTTTGAAACATGAAGGCCAAGTATGGTAACCCATATTTGGAATTCGTCCTCTGCATTTAACCCATCCAAGTTAGTGCACACACAATAGGAATATTGAACACACACACACACACACACACACTGGAAACTGTGGACACGCACAGTTGGACCCAGAGGTCAACCATTCACTGTGGCTCCCGGGGAACGATTGGGGTTTAGGAGCCTCGCTCAAGGGCACCTCAGTCATTTCCTGCTGGTATTAAGAATTGAACCCGCAACCTTCGAGTTACCAGCCCCTAACCATTAGGCCACGACTGTCCCCGTGGCTTTTTAACCATCTCTTACAATAAAATTCAAGCTTCGGGTTAGGGGTGTGCTGGTATCAGGCGGGTCGTTGTGACATTCGTCTGTTATTGGACAACTTAGTTTAAACGAGCTGACACTATAGCCACTTGCGATTTTAAATTAACAGTAAGACAACTAGCAGGGAATGTGCTTTCCATTAAATGAATCACTCATTGTAAATAAATCCTTAACAAAAACAAAAAAAAAACAAACAAAAAAAAAACCAGGCATTTCTTTGTCAGTGTCGGCTGCAGAGATGAAGTTGATGATGCCGACTCACGATCTTTGCAGTAGTCAACGCGCCAGAGAGAAATGCACATTTCATACGGATTACATAAGCAGAGAGCAGTCTGTTATCTGTTTTCTTTCGAGTTGAACTGTTCTGTTGAAAAGTAGACATGTCTGTGAGGCAAGTATGGTCTTTGTTTGAAAAATGCATTGATTGTAATTGACAGATTTTGTGTAATCGATTAGACATTTTTGTGTGGATATATTAAAGCCACTAGAGACTAAATGCAATGGTTTATATGTTTCCTTAACTTAGTTGCTATTAACAACAGACTGTACAGATAGAGCATGTATATGCCTCAAGGCTCTTTCCAAATCCCCATGTGAACATTTTCTGTCATTTAATAGTCTCTCTGCCATGAGGAATTGCTTCTGCTCTCGCTGAAGCCTAATGCCCATGCTCAAGTAGTGTAGGAGCAAGTAGTGTGGACATCTGAAGTTGTGTGAACCTAATTATGATGCTCTATTTTTGGCTCCCCACCTTGTGCCTGTTGGTTTCCCAGTCTCCCTTCTTTCACTTGTGACAGCTGTTTGGATTGTGTAACAGCATGGTTTAATTTGAAAATCCAGACCATCTGAGATCTTTGGGATTTAATTAATCTCATGCTACCGTGACAAAAGGAAAAAAAAACATTCTGCTAAGCATCACAGAACTCTTAAGTGTCTCATAAGTGTTTTTCCTACAACATGAATCACTTGATACCACCGGTGTAAACCTTTAGAGCTTTTATGTACTTAAATATAAGTGTTAATTTTTCAGAAAGCAAACCTGCAGAAAGTGACAGGTGCAATGATTTATAAAATATGATGACAGTGTTCTAGCATTGTTCTGTCTATGTCAAATTAAAATGTCATTCTAAATGTAAATTTCATTTTCATGCTTGTAAGTAGAGCATAGTATGGAAGCTTGTTTCCGCCATAGAATGAAAAATATAAAAGGTACTTGCGACTTTTTATCTTACAATTCTGACTTTTTTACTCACAATTGTGAGTTTACTTCTCGCAATTCTGACATTATTTCTCAGAATTGCGAGATATTAAGTCAGAATTGCATAATATAAAGTCGCAATTGTGAGATATAAAATCAGAATTGCGTGATATAAAGTCAGAATTGCGAGTTATAAAGTCAGAATTGCGAGATATAAAGTCAGAATTGCTAGATATAAAGTCGCAATTGCATGTTATAAAGTCAGAAATGCATGATATAAAGTCAGAATTGTGAGATATTAAAAACACCACATAGACATAAAAACATTTTAAAAATGTAATTTTTTAGAAAATAAGAAAACCGATGAGGTGAATATCCATTTTAATGCTAACTTTTTATTTTAGGATCTTTTTCCTCAGCTGCTGGCATGGGAACCCAGTCTCGGTGCGTTTTACGGCCCGGCAGCTTTCATTGTTTTCGTGGATTGCATGTACTTCCTCAGCATTCTCATTCAGCTCCTACGGCATCCCAAACGTCGCTATGAGCTCAAAGAACAGTCCGAAGAGCAGCAGCACCTTTCTGTGACTGAGGCCCCGTCCACACTACTGCGTTTTCGTTTAAAAACGGAGAATTAAAACGAAAACGATCTCCGTCCACACTAGCGTTTTACCTGCGTATTACAATTTATCTCAGTCCACACTAAAACGACTGAAAACGTGGATCACGTGACCATTCACCAACACTGGGCATGCGCGCGCCGGTGTAAACAGTGGTTGGCGAATCAGGGTAAGATACGTCATGACTGATGACACCCAATCATAGAGCCGAGCGTGAGCCTCTGCGTCATCGTTTGTAAACTCCTCCGTTTTGTCTCGTCCACACTAAAACGCCCTCCGGAGATTCAAAACGCAGCTGCAGCGTTTCTAAACTTCTCCGTTTTAGGTCTTCGTTTTTCCCGTTTTAGTGTGGACGGGAGGTGCAAACGTAGCAAAAGGTCTCCGTTTTTAAACGAAAACGCAGTAGTGTGGACGGGGCCTGAAGCAACCGAAATCTCACATCTGAAGACCTCCTCACAGCCGCCGGACACCCGGTTTTGAGAACGAACATACTTTTGTAGGGGAGGTATCTGGGACCGATGTCACCAGCCAAACTAAAGACTGTCCAAAACAGCCCCTCGCTGTTGAACTGGAGGTACAGCCCAAGTCTTACGGTTTGAATCTAGCTTGCCAAAACGGACCTGCCAAAGACTCAGAGAGACTACAGAATTTGTCCCCCCTGAATGTGGAGAGTTCAGGGAATATTAAGACTGGCTTGTGGAAGCATGAAACTACTGTGTAGCAAGATTCCCTTCTCAGAGACTACAAATCAGACTTTTATCTGTAACTGTGAATCTTTATTTTATGATTTTGGTGGTACAGTTTGTACGAAAAAATAGTTCCTAAAGAATTTGCATTTTAATGTTTATGTTCAAAAACTGAGTACCTACAAATGCTTGGCTGCGAATCATCAGTCTACAAATGGTCTATCTTTGTACCCCTTAGCCCATTTTGTATTTCATTCTGACTTTTTGCATGTAAAAATGCATGACTCGCTGCTCTTTGAGTATAAGTTGGCTGAATCTTAAGCTGCGTTTCCACTGCAATTGCCAGGAACTATTTGTCCCAGGAATTTTTTTCATAGGAATTTTTTTTGCCCCATTTTTTTGCTTACTGCGTTTACACCGCGTACTAAAGTACCGGTCCGGGGCGGGAAGATTATGTAGTGACGTTGAACTGAATACGACTGCTCCTCCCAGTCTTGCTCCTCCCAGTCTGCTTGTTTGTTTTGAGTTTTGAATGCGTTTTGAGTTTTGTATGGAGGAGATTCAAGCTTTGCTACTTTTGTGTGTGATTGGTTTACTAACAAGGTAATTAACAAAATGGCAGAAAAGAGACGAGCACCCAAAGCGTATTCAGAAAGCTCGTAATGCTTCTAGATATAAAAGTAGACATTTGTTATCAGCGGACATTGACCATGAGATGGATGGGAAGAACGCGCGGGCATCCTCATGGGCATCCAAGATGTAGGTGTCTTTGTTTCCACAGTATTTTCAATTTTGACATTTTTCAGTCAAACCGTTGTTGTCTATCAGTCATACACTGGAGGCTAAGGGGGTCCACCAAAAAGCATGCACAGAGAAGTCAAAATTAAACATGATTTAATGACTCGTAAATGTAAGTACACATTGATGGCCTAAGACACGAAACGAGCGGTTTGTGTGAGGAAACGAACAGTATTTATATCGTTTTTACCTCGTATAATCACAGTGACGTCCAAGTGATCTGAATCAGTTGTGCAATGTCCAACTGAACCGAACTGAATCAGTTCAATGTTACGCCGGAAGTGATCGCTTGCGTGTGACGCCACTCAATATTTACATGGGGATTTCGGAAGTTTTTCCTTTTACTTACTTCGGTATTTAGATATACGGGAAACCGCAATGGAAGACGATTTCGGTATATCTAAATATGTTTAGTGAAAGGTAAAACTTCTGAAATCTCTGTATAAACAAAGAGTGACGTAGGCGCGCAAGCGATCACTTCCGGCGTATGTGCAGACCGAAGCGCCCCTGTCATCAGATCATTTTGTCATGGCTATGATTAGAAGAGGTAAAAACGATATAAATACTGTTCGTTTTCTCACACAAACCGCTCGTTTCGTGTCTTAGGCCATCAATGTGTACTTACATTTACGTGTCATTAAATCATGTTTAATTTTGACTTCTCTGTGCATGCTTTTTGGTGGACCCCCTTAGTCTGCAGTGTATGACTGATAGACAACAACGGTTTGACTGAAAAATGTAAAAATTGAAAATACTCTGGAAATAAAGACACCTACATCTTGGATGCCCTTGAGGTAAGCTAAAACATATCAAAAATTTATTTCAAAGTGAACTATCCCTTTAAGCCCATTTTGTATGTGAAGATGCATGACGTTCTACCCTTTGAGTACTTGTTGGCTGAATCTTGTGTGTTCTTATGCGTTTTCAGATAATTGCAGCTGTCAATTTTGCGCAGCCAACTTCATCTCGTCTCTTGAGTTCAAAGGTGAGTTCAGACTTCTTCTCAGAGCTTCCTTTAGGCCTTGTGGTTTGGAGTAATTGGGAGCACGTTCTGCCATTACGTCCATTTCATGAAGCCTCCAATTGAGGTGCAGGTCTTGCTTTTCCCCCAGTTTGGTGGAACCAGTTGGATGGGGAAGAAATGGTAGGACTCTGCCTCTAGAGTTAGAGACCCGTGCAGTGATTGATGGCTGACTCTCAGGTTGGGCGGCCTGTCATCATTAGTAGTGAAGGGAATATAATTGCTGTAGTGCAGTCTCACCTCACCTCCCCCCTTGTCTCACTTACCACAAGTCTGTCGAGCTGTTCTCTGCAGGATAATACAGGGCCGAGTGAAGG